TTCAATTCTTTATTTTTCAGTATAAAGGCCATAGGCCCACGTACAAATACTCACTGAAAAATACAGTATAGATCTTGTGTCGCAAATAGATGGTAATCCTTGATCCTCGCACAAACCTATCGATATCGTTCATATCTGTTGCGCTTCCGTCCTAATGACCATGAGTATTACATATGTTATTAAATGTAAAAAAGTCTTAAATGCCACTGGTTAACGCTACTATTCAATTGTCTGCACAGCTGAATCTACCCTACTCCTAATGAATACAATTTGCTGGAAGGTGGATTTCATCCTCCACGTTTATGATGTAACTTATATAACGCATGACTCTTCCTGTTATTTCGTGCACCTGCTTAGCATTGTGAGAAGACAATGTAATTAACTATCCGAGTTGTCTTGCTATAAGTTACATAATAAACTTTTTTTATTGGAGTAGATATTCTGAGTATATTCATTGTGAATAATGCTGCAGTCTGGTTCGCCCTTGAATGTCTAGAGAATAAAGAATTCATCAAATCACAACTATATCTGCAGACCCCCGCCACCAAAAACCCTAATCCTTTCAGATTCATTAAGTGGGCTCCAGGCTATAAAAAAAATAAAACACAAAAAAGCGCCCAAAACTAATACAACAGATAATTAAAAGCGCCAACAATCTACGTAAACTAGGAAAAGACATAGAAATAGTATGGATCCCTGCCCACGTTGGAGTGTTTGGCAACGAACACACAGACAAAGCAGCCAAATCAGCAGTAAAATTAGAAGAAGTAAGCATCAACCTACCAATGTAAAAAAAATAAATTAAAAGTAATACAAAAGTGGCAAAATAACTATCAGAAATAACTAAACTACAAACAGGCGACACTAAGTTAAACTCCCACCTACACCAAATTAAAAAAACCACCAATCCAGGAAATGCCCCCACTGCAACTTAAAAGAAACTCCTGAACACGTAATACTATATTGCACACAGTACCAGCAACACAGAACAACACTCCAATCCACACTAAACTGCAACAATCAAATGACACTAGCAACGGTACTAAACTCCCTAAATGACTTACATACCTTTAAAGCACTAGGCATATATCTAATCAAAACAGGCCTACTCGGCCGCATCTAACAAAGTACAACAAACAAGCTGCCAATAAACCTTAAAATTCTAAACCTACAAAAACACACTTAGAACTACAACTACTAAAACTACTAAAACTACATTTAGTCCCCCATCCACTTTTTGAATGGCATATTTCAAAATTCCAAATTTGTTATCCAAATTAAGTAAACAACCCTAAAAGCTCCTCCAGGTTGCCCCACCTTCTCGGACATATCCTTTTCGACCAAACACTAAATGGCCTGGCGGGCCCATGCGCGAAATACGCATGTGTTGGAAAGCGCACGTTTAAGTCCCAATTTAAGTAAGTAAGTAAGCAGACCCCGCGTATCTGAGACACTCGACATGTGTATACGTGCATCAACTTTTGCACAAACCAAGTGTAGCAGTAGTTTGTCTGATTAACGAGCAGATAACAGATAACAGATAAACAACACAGTATTTGACCTATCATTTTAAAACCGTCTATGTATCATGTCTTTGAAAATCATTTACAAAGTTCAACACATAAGGTAGACATCTTTAATTTGGGGAACACAATGTTTCGGAGAGTATACTTACTCCTTCACCTGATGAAGGAGTAAATATTACTTTGAAACATTGTGTTCCATCCATAAATTCTCTTCCTTACATGTATGTATCATCCGTGTATCACCAGGTTTCTACTTCGTTTTGAGGAAAGTTATTCCGTTTTCATAAGCACATCAAACCGAAATGTATTTTCCTTAATTTAATCCTGAATGCTAAATGCTAAACAGAGACTGTGATAGCCGCTGTTAACACTCAGCATTTCAGGCATTTACGGACGAACGCAAGTCCTTATTGTGTATGAATCAGATGAACTGAGGACCAAAATCGGGGTGAATCTAGAAAATAAGTGTATTCAGGCACCACTGGGAATTGCGTTCTCATACACTACTCCCAATTCCAAAGACTATTGATAACTTATACAAATGAGTTACACACATCAGGGAATATAAACATTTGTCAATGAATTTCTTATTGATTAATATAGAATAGGTCATGCATCCTTGCGGAAAAAATACAGTTTTAAGAACATATCCATGCAAAGCTTTATACTGTTAATGGACTTACCACCTACACCTCTTTAAATATAACACGAGCAACAGGCTTGTATAGCTTCAGGTTAGATTGAACATACATCCGACATACATGGGGAAGTAACGCACAACAGCATTTCTGAAGTGTACATGCAGTGTACCAATATGGCGCCACTTTCTCAGCACTATTACCGACTTTTGCGGCACTTTCGCGGCACTATCGCGCCACTTTCACGGTACCATCGCGGCACTTTTGTGCCACTTTCGCGAAACTTCGCGGCATTTTCTAGCCACTTTCGCGGTATTATCGCACCACTTTCGAGTCACTTTCGCGATACTTTCACGCCACTATCGCGAACGTATAGCGAAATAGTTTCGCGATACAGGGGAAGTGACTTTTGAAATGTAGTGTATGTTCCCCATGGCAGGGGATAGTGATAACACTAACTTTTTACTTATCTTGCATTACTTCTTAATGAATTCACTGCTTATCTTGCGACAGAAAACGGGACAGTGTGCCGGCGATGGTCCTGGGTGAAGAAATTTATAAACTGTTCGTAGTCCCACTTTTCAAGACCACCCCCGCTGTCCTTTGACCTCTATGACCTTAGGTCACCTCTCCACATCACTGCCTGTTGCGCTACAGCAAGAACGTGTACCAGTGGAGCTCTCGTTTATTTAGACCTTCACAGTGTTAGAAATTGGCACTAGTCCTATAGTCCTTGCCAAACTGCCCAATAGTTAAGATGTCATAAGGACTAGTATAAATTGGCCCTTTTTAAGGGTTTTGCTATATGTTATCATTATAAGGACAAGTGGACTAAAACAATTAGTTTCTACCGCTGCCTTCAGTTTTCGTCTACAATTTTAAAATTCATCTGCGATGGGTGATGTATTCTCTTCATATTACTCTCAACATGTTGCGCAGTTTTATATGATTTATTTAGGCCAGGCTCAGGATTCCTTTCATGGGAAAGGGCTTGGCAGAGGGAAACCTCAAGGTTCTTATCAGTCCCAGCATGGTATATATATATATATAGGGGAGGTGATAAGAGGGGTAAACACAGAGATGTTGGACAGTCACAACTGGGATCTTCCGCCTCAGTCATCCCAACTGTCGATTCCCCGGTAGGAGAGAAACTGGATCGATTTTGGAAGAACTGGAGCATCCTCAAGGAGGATTACGTTCTCTACGTACTACGTCACGGTAACCAACATTAGCCACAGCGGCACTACATGAGAACAACATCACCCGGGTTCATTTTGAGCATGGGACACATGGAGTGGTGCATCTCGGGTTGTGCTGGGATTTTACTGCAAAAAATCAATTACCAGGCCACCTCAATTGTTCCTTACCATCCCACCAATATCGACTATTGTGGGAAAAGAAGTTGAGGGTGAACTTCTGTTATGTCCGGTAAGGGCACGGCGAGTTTTCATTCGCCGTTCCAAGTCTAGGCATGGTTCGAGGAAGCGGTTATTTATACCCGTGTCTACTACATCCACGACCGAAGTTAGTCGCAACACCATATCTCTATGATTACGTGCAATCATCCTTCAGGCGTATTCCACCCCCAATCTGGATCGGCCAAGAGCGAATAATCCTCATGAGATCAGGGCGTTAGCCTCTACCATGGCTTTTACACAGCAATTGTTTTATTAAAACAATCATGGAACGATGTTTTTGGAGGTCCGACACAGTTTTTCGCCTGTCATTATCGGCGCGATGTGACTCTCGAGGACGTCAAGGGTGTACAAAGTTTTGGGCAGTTGGTTATAGCCCAGCAGTTTACCAACCCCCGACGCAAATAATGAACTCACCCTATGCAGAGCCATTCCAATTTCTGGTGCAGTCACTCAGATTTCGCCAGTGGAAGAATATTAGACAATTGATTGTCTACAAGGCTCTATGATGTAGTAAGTAAAGATTTAGCTGGTGAGCTAGTGGTCGTTATTACTAAGATAGGGAGTTACTCTTTAATTCCTATGTTCACATTGAAATAACCCGACCGTAATGGCGTTTTTCTGAACGTTTCCGCTTCACGGTTTATCGACCAACTGGTGTCGTATAATCCAGGTGTGAATTATTGAGGTTTCTGAATTTTGAAGGTTTCCCTCTTCCAAACAGTCCAATACAGATGCATTAAGGAGTAATGCAGGATAAGTAAGGATGAGAGGTTTCGAAACATGAAAATTAGTAAAAATCTAAATATTTTTTACATTTATATACTTATCCTGCATTACTACGTTTAAGGCCCACCCGTTGCTGACTTGCCTCCCCACTTTGGCTTCAGAAACCTCAAAAGTATGTCTTTTTTAAGCTCGGGTGACAGGCAGACCTATATATATATATATATATATATATATATATATATATATATATATATATATATATAGGTGACCTAAGGCCACAGAGGTCACATGACAGCAGTGGTGGTCAAGAAAAGTAGGAAGATGAACAGTTTATTAATTTATCACCCAGGACCATCACCAGTACACTGTCCTGCTTTTTGTCTCAATGTAAGCAGTGAATGCATTAAGGAGTATTGCAGGATAAGTATACAAATGTAAAATATATTTAGATTTTACTAATTTTCTTGTTTTGATTTGAAACCACTCATTGATTATTCAGAATCAATTGTTTTTCAGATATATGGTAGAATTAGTGATTTATCACTTTCATTTAGTTGCTATAATTATTTGTGAGTAAATCTCAATGTCATAATACATAACTGTCATCTAGGAAAATTCTAGAAAATACAATGTTGTATTGAGGACATGTACTTTGTTCTATTTGAAATTATTATGTATTATGTATTATATAGGTGTGTGTGACCTTGGCTGCCTGGGTGAGTGTGTTAGTATGGAGAGACTGGACCTCTCCCACAATCATCTGACAGTACTCCACAAGCTAGCTGGCCTCACCACACTCCACACCCTCAACCTGGCCGCCAACACAATCACTAACTTAGGTAAGTAATGCAACAGTCACACTCACTTGGTCATGTAGCATGTACAGCTAAATTGAGCCACACATATGGCACATGTAGAACAATTTAACATGTAATTGAAGGTCAAAGGCACAACATAATAGTGAAGAAAATAACACTCAATGCAGCAGTGGGTCAGTTTCTTTTGCATACACCTGGTGGCTCAAGAGTTTTTTATTATCCCCCGCCACGAAGTGGAAGGGGGATATAGGAATGGGTGCCATCCGTCTGCCTTTCCGTCCGTCCTTCCGTACCTCCGTCCATCCGTCCATCCGTCACATTTCATTTCTGGAGCAGAACACAAAAACCATGAGAGATATCTTAACCAAACTTGGCACAGAGATAGGTCTAGTGGTGAACTGGTTCCTTTTGATAGTTTGGTATTTAAAAAAAATTATATTTCGTGTTTCCATGGCAACGACTTTGACTTAGACTGAAAATGGCGTTAGTCCTCATTTCCGGAGCAGATCTTTAAAACCGTACCATATTTCTTCACCAAACTTGGCACATAATGTCATCCCGCAGTATTGAATACATTTCCTTTCTTGTTGGCAAGTTCTGCTTTGCTTGTGTGTATGTTCCTCCAAAAGTGTCATGGACAAGGTTGTCGCATTCACTGACTAACTTCATGCTGAAACTTCAGGATCTCTCCAAGCAGCATGAATGTGAACATGTCCTAGTTGCTGGGGATTTGAACTGTGATCTGAGTGAAAAACTGAAACCTGAAGATTACTTTAATTTGCGAAAAATGACTCAACTCATTCACTCTCCAACTCACTGTCTTGGAGGTACACTGGACTTTACTGATCATGCCAGTGCTGTAGCATTCCAGACTCCAGTCTACTACTCAGATCATCAAATGATTGGTGCTGTACTTCTCAGTACACCTCATGGTGACCCCTGCTCTCATTGATTTCTAAGTAAAGTAAGAACTCCCTTACTTCTCTGATTATTGTTTAAGTAATAACACAACTCATTACAAATACAACAGTGTAACTGATCTTAAACTTACTCAACTGTATAAACACTGCCTCCTATCCTGTATATATTCTTGTCAACCATACTCTGTACTTCACTTCCTTGATCACGGTGTTAGAATCTACACCGAAACGTCGCTCCTAATTGTAATAAGGAAGTTGTTCGTCCATATGTCTCATCTTTACTCATTACAAATACAGTTACCGTACGTATTCTATCATAAACTGCAGATGGCAAAACAACACCAGTAAAAAATTTTGTATAGTGCTGCAATTGGGCCATTTACAAAAAAGGTCCAGTGAACATAGTTCACAGGAGCTAATGCATTGCACACAACCGAACATGTCATATTGGTCGGGGATATGAGTATTTCATGCTTGTTTTTGTGTGTGTTTTTTTAGGGTTTTAAATTGGTGATAGCATGATTTTGTAGCTTATTAGATGCGGCCTAGTAGGCCTGTTATAATTAGGAATATGCCTAATGCTTTGTTTAGTGGTTTTAGAATGAGTGAGTGAGTGAGTGAGTTGGGTTTAACGCCGCTTTTAACAGTATTACAGTTATATCGTGGTGTGTCAGCTTAATGCGGGAGGAAAGCCCGAAGTGATGCAGGTCTCAGACGTTTACCACTTCGGTGAAACCCACGAGCACGAGTATGGTGCTGATAAACCTAGAAACATAATTGGGCCGAACCGGGATTCGAACCCACAATCATAGGTTTCTGGCGTGCCCAAGGGACGCAACTCTGCACAGCGAATCGCAGTGCCTTAGACGACTGGGCCACCTGTGCCCCCCTAGTGGTTTTAGAAGTGTTGCCAGAGACATTTAGTTGTTGCAGTTTATTGTGGATTTGAGGGTTGTTCTGTGTTGTTGGTGGTGTGTGCAGTGTAATAGTGCGTGTTCAGGTGTTTCTTTTTTGGCTACAGTGAGGGCATTTACCTGTTTGACGTTTTCCGATTCCATGTAGGTGAGAGTTTGGTTTAGTGTTCCCTGCCTGTAATTTGATTATTACCTTGTCAATTTTTTTGGATATATGAAGAACTTTTGGTTTTTTGAGTGGCTTTTGGAGCACCTGTTTCAGTTTGATTTCTGATATTGGTTTTGCCACTTTTGGAGGATTTTACTCTTAGTGATACTTTTAATCTCGTTTTGAGAGATTGGTGGTTGATGCCTAATTTTTAAACTTATCCTATCTCGCACTTAGCATTTCTCCCTTCTTCTTCGATCCTATGTGGGAACGTGCTTGAATCCTGTTTCCAGCTTCTGAAAATATAAATAGCCATCCAAGCCCCCCCCCCCCCCCCCCCCCCGCATCAACATGTTACGTCCAAAAGCTAGGTCAATTACGTGCCTCTCGTGCATGCAGTGTCTGCTTGAACTGACCATGTGTGCGCCTCTACCAATTCATTCTCTTTCTCATTGCCACTGTGTTTGAAACATCACAGAAATGTTGTCCTTCATCAAGTTGTTCGAGTATCCTAAGTAATATGGGAAAGAAGGACAATCATCGTCCTGCTTGTAAAGAATGCAGACGTACCTATTCCATGTCGGATCCCCACTCATTATGTTGCGACTGTCGGGGACAGTGCACCCTGGGTTCCCAATGTGCGGAATGTCATTCCCAAACTAACTTGGCTTTTAAAGTTTACCTTGGCTTCTAAAGTTTACCTTGGCTTTTAAAGTTTCACCGTTCCAAAGCAGGGGATTCCAAAGCTAGTACCAGCTCATCACACCTAAAAGACAATCCTGTCAAACCTGTAATTTCTGTCACAGACAACACCCTCTCAGACAGCTTCCTTACAGACCACCACTCCACAGATACGCAGGTCGATGTGCGCTCGGTCTATCTGACCAACACGGGTCCCGCTCTTGTTATACCAGCGACCGATTGCTCCAGTCCATTCAAAATCCTGCTCTTGGATACGGCTCGCTCTGCCCTCGCGGGGGCTAGAGAAACGGCCATCGATATGACTTCATCTCGGGTCGTTTTAGATCATCATACTTCAGTAAGACGTTCACCCTCCAAGACGACAGATCGGCACTCCCGCCTCACGATCAGCGCTCTCGTTCCAAGGATCAGCGCTCCCGCTCCAAGGATCGGCGTTCCAGCTCACAGGATTGGAGAACTCACTCCCTGGATCGGCATTCACGATCGAGTTACCATGAGCGTTATCATTCCCGCTCCCGATCGTCTTCAATTAACCACCCGTCAGACAGTTCTCTCTACGGCAGAGACTGGTCATCCATCGTTGACTACCACCATAGTGGCTATCCTCACGGAACCTTGTCAGCGGTTGATACCTATGCGGCCTGTCACGGAGAATGGGATGCCTACCCGATCTAAAATTACTCTTATTACCAGCGTCTCGGATACCCTTACTCATGGTTTCCTGACTACATCTCTTCTGCCGGCTACGCCTATCCGTCTCACAGTTCACAGGATCGGTGTTTGTCATCGTATAAAGAACGTGATCGTCGAAGTCATTCTCAGAGCCATTCTCGTTCGGCGCACAGATCACCCGATCGTAATCCTTCTAGGTTGGCTCCTCCCGACCCTTGTCCACCTATCCTACCCACAAGTTGGGATCACAGGGATCAACAACAGACTTCGGAACCATCGTTTGACTCTCTTGTGAAAGCAATATCCACTGACCTCCTTCACTGTTCGGATCCTTCATTGACTCCTCAACCTACTGATCCTGTTCTGTTTTCGGTTGCCTCCCGCTCAACCCCTCCCGGATCGGGTGGTTCAGCCTCTACTTCGGGAGATCCCGGTATCCAGGCTAAACCAACTGACAGTTCACATCCGTCAGGCGTTCTTGACGATCCCTCGTCAACGCCTTCCTCGGTTGGGAGTTTTGAAAACCAGCGGACCCAGAATCGGTCATGCATTTGATAGCTGATAAATTGCAGTTAAAGCAGATGACTTCGGCTGCGGATAGATTCTCCGGATTCACAGTTCCATCGGCTAGTTCATCCAAGTTCACGCTCCCTCCCAGATCGGTCTTACTGGACATTAACTCTAACCTACATACAGCCTTCGCATCCTTTTGTCGATTACCGGATCGTCTTCATATCCCCCTGCTTTATCCTTGAAGACACAGGCACTCATGGCATGTCTACTACGGTCACCTCTCCCGATACTGACAGTGGCGTTTCTACTCAGAAGTGCTCAACCTAGTCTTACGTGGTTGAAGATTGGGACCTAACGCACTTGGATACCACAGTATCCTCCCATTCTTGTCTACTATTTTGTCATGGACACACTCTCCGTCTCTCCTTCTACTCATTCCCAAGAAGAGGCCTTTACTCGGGGATTAATCAACCTTAAACAAGACAAGCTTATGCAACACAGATTTTGAACCTCCTCACTGACCATGCCGGCTCCATGACGGCTCTTCATCGCCTTGATGTGCTGCAACATTCTTCCTGGGATGACCAATTTAAGGCCAAACTGTATCAGCAACCCTGGTCTTCCCGCTCCTTATTTGCTGGCGAGATACAACAGGTCGCACAGGACGTGCAGAGAGATTCTAGCCTTCAGGTCAAGGTGGACCTTCTACGTCTCCAGAAAAGAAAAGACAATTGGAGGATCAACAGAAAAAGGATCGCCAATATCCCCAATTTGTTCCTGCCCAGCGCGATTTACGTGAGCTTATTTCTTCCCGGGCCTAATCCCTTTCGAGGGCGCGTCAGAGGTCGAAGAGGTCAACGGGGCTTGAAGCCCTCCTCGGGTTGATCGGTCTCCTCTACTGGACCCAAAGGGGAGGTTCGGCAGGAACTTGACTCCTTTTCAAATCGGTATGACTGGGAACTTCCGCCCTCAGCAGTTCCCGTTACAGCCACACCCGTAGACGGAAGACTCAAGATCTTTGCAAGCAATTGGACCATGCTCGCAGACCCCTTCGTGATGTAGCTGCTTCAACAAGAGTATCGATTACCGATGATCGCACCGCCAGCTACGATGTTCCATCCCCATCAGAGAACATATCCGGCCAGGAAGCTA